TGAGAGCAGGAAGAGGCTGGGAGAGTCCTGTCACTCCCACCACAAATCACTAGTGTTCCACCAAATGCCTTCCCTGAGGCTTCCAGATTCCACTCACAGAATCACAGAATCAACCAGGTTGGAAGAGACCTCCAAGATCATCAAGTCCAACCCTACCGTGGTTACTAGACCATGGCAGTAAGTGCCACATCCAGTCTCAGCTTGAAAACCTCCAGGGATGGTGAATCCACCACCTCCCTGGGCAGCACATTCCAATGCCTGAGCACTCTCTCCGTAAAAAATCTCTTCCTAATAGCCAACCTAACCCTCCCCTGGCAGAGCTTGAGTCTGTGCCCTCTTGTCCTGCTGCTGGGAGAAGAGACCAACGCCTACCGAGCCCGGGGCGCCTCTCCCTGCCGCCCAGCACACCTCTCACCGTGTCGTCCCGCTGGGATGCTTAGCGCTGGCGCTTCCTCCTCCCGTGGTTAAGGCAGGACAAGCCGCTCCGGGTTGTGTGTCTATTCAACACTAAACCAGCGGCTCCGGACCGAACGGAAAAGGCAGTTCAGGAGATGAGAGGATGGACTACCCGCGAGGTGGCACCACGAGAACGTGGCTGGGAGCAGCGGCGGGTCAGGAGCAAAGCTGAGACAGGAGCGATGAATTCCGTGTGATCGTGCAATAAACTGAACCTTCGCGTCTTGTTTGCTCAGGCCCTGAGGGAAACTCCTCGGAGTGGGGTGGAGAAGGGGCACAGTAAGAAGACAGGTGACTTATCCAGCGTAGGGCTCTTCAGGAAGATTTCCTGCCATCCTTGTGCTCCGTGGCTCTTCCACAGTTAAAGACTCCCATCACCTGCACCCATGAAGGCATCATTCCATCCTGGGACTCTGGTGTTCTCTGACCTGCCTTTCTCTGCCAGTGTCACGATAGTAGCTACATGGATTGAGTCCAGAGGAGGCCACCAAGGTGATTAGAGGGATGGAGCAGCTCTGCTATGAGGAAAGGCTGAAAGAATTGGGATTGTTCAGCCTGGAGAAGAGAAGGCTTCAGGATAACCTAATTGTGGCTTTCCAGTGCCTGAAGGGAGCCTAGAGGAAAATGGAGAGAGGCTCTTTACAAGGGCCTGGAGTGACAGGACAAGGGAGAATGGCTCCACACTGACAGAGAGGACGTTTAGATTGGATATTAGGAAGAAATTCCTCCCTGTGAGGGTGCTGAGCCACTGGCACAGGTTGCCCAGAAAAAGCGGTGGTTGTGGAAGTGTTCCAGGCCAGGTTGGATGGGGCTTGGCGCAACCTGGGCTAGTGGAAGGAGTCCCTGCCCACCAGACAGGATGGACTTTAAGGTCCTTCCAACCCACGCCATTCTGGAATACTGTGAATTTCTCTTTAATTCCTATTTCAGAAGGCACATCCAAACAGCTTTGTGATGAGCACTAAGCAAACAGTCCTGGGATGCACTAAGAGGCTTCACATCACGACAGTTTGAAAGTCATACATTATTTTTACATTCCTCTTCTCCACAGTCACAACAGCCTCACCCACAGCTCAGCACAGGAGGAAGCTCTCAGTATCTCCTGGGATGTTTGGCCTATGGCATGTGGGGATTTTACTCTGTATCGACACTTTTATATCAGTTTCCTGTCATAAACAATTCCGTAGAAGAATTCCACAGACAAACATTTTCTTATGCAAATATACTAAGAGCGGGAAAACAGGATGAGGACATAAACTGATTGCAAATGATTCATGAGACAGTAATTAACCAGAGGAGCATTAAAGGGCTGTGGGCAACTGAGATAAGCACAAAGCACATGCCAGCCTGGGAGCATCACTCGTGACAGCAGGGACAAAGAGGAGCCGGAATCAGGGCTTGGCTGAAACTTCATCACTGCAGGACAACAAACAGGCATTTTCCCAGCATGGAACACAAAAGGCACAGACAAGCCACCCCCACCCATGGATGGAGCATGGATTCATCCCACCTAGTGACAAGCTTTGTCAGTTAGGAGTGTAGTTGTCCCTCTTGGTGGCTGTTCCAGCTCCAACACCTGCAAGGTGGTTTCATACTGTTCAAACAACTAAAAATCAGTAAGTTTTAAGGCATCTCCCCTTTGGACAATGGAATTGGCAGAGTGAATTTGAAGCCTCCAAAGCACTGTAATCATGGCAGGTCTGTCTCGCCGTTTCACAGCTCGTTTCTTTGTAACAGTATGAACTTACTGATGAAGAGCTATGTGAAATGCAATAGAAAATTCTCCTATTTTTACACATAAATGAACCTAGCAGTTCACCATCTTATTTCCAGGTGTCCCTGCACTTTGAATCTCACTTCTGCAACTGAAAGATACTCACAGTTCTAATATTTGGGATCACCCTGAAGTCCATCAAGCACCACTACAGGCCACGTCAGCAGAAACACAGCAAGAGAGCTCAGACACTTTGATGAGGTTTGCTTACGACAAAGCTGAAGTTCTCAGCAAATAAGAACAATCACTTCTCACCTCATCCCCCCCCAGCAGTGAGTTCATGAGATTAGAGCCTCCCTGAACTCCTTGCCCTCCTCAGCTGCAATTGCCTTGTTTCTTTCTGCTGCTCCAGTGAGGGAGGAGAGGTACATGGTGGCACAGACAGCTTGAGCACTCAGGTGTTCTTGAGGCTACCAACATGGTACTGTGTGTCTTCTGCTGGTAACACTGACCTAGTCAAGTTTTTTAGGATTGGTCATCCTTCCTTCCTTTCTTTCCTTCCTTCCACAGGATTCTTGCAGAGAAATCATCTGGATTTTACCCTTCAAATAAAAAGGCAGAAAGAATTTCATAGTGTCATAGAATATTAAGGGGTTGGAATGAAGTTTAGAGATGATCCAGCCCCAACCCCCTACCCTGGGCAGGGACACCTCCCACCAGAGCAGGTTGTTCAAGGCTTTAGCCAACCTGGAATGAACACTGCCAGGGTTGGGGCAGCCACAGCCTCCCTGGGCAACCTGTGCCAGTGTCTCCTCACCCTCACAGAAAAAACCTTTTCCTACTATCTAATCTAAATTTCCCCTCTTCCAATTTATACCCATTACTCCTTGTCTTATCACTGCAGTTCCTAACAAAAAGTCCCTCTCCAACTTCCTCATAGGCCCCTTCAGATAGTTAATTGAAAGACTGAGGGATTTTAGTCAGGCTTTTTTTTTCTTTTCAGACAAGATGAATATTCACTAAACCATTCAGGAAGGGCATGAGGTTGTCCTATGAATGCCACAAGAAAGAAGATGGTCCCACCACGCCACTAACCTTACTTTTCATTTCCAAATCTCTCTCATGGACACTGTGGGATGCTATGTCAGCCTCAGTCATGCTCCATCTTGCATCTGAAGCCCTTTGATGACTGAAACCCTCCTAGGATAAAGGAATTGATAATAATTGGACATTCAACACTCAAATTACTAATCTCAATCTCATTCTTCTCCTGGTGCTGTTGTGTCATGAGTATTGCTAACCCAAGAGCAAACTTCCTACCCAGAGTGCTCAGCATTGATGATACTTATGCTGTAATCAAAGCACTACGTCCAGCACAGCAGTAGATAATTCCCCTCAGTCTGTCACTGTCCAGCAAAGCACTGTTTGGAGACCAATAAAATTGCTTTCAACAAATAAAGTCCTAATTTAATCCTAACAGTCGTGTCTGGCTGTCACAGGGAACAAAGCTGCAGCCTGCTAATGCCATGGAGTCTGCTTCCGGCCAGGAATTGCTCAGGGATATTATCAGTCATTGTAAACTGTCTTGGCCATGAAGTTAATGATTACTCAGGTCCCCATCTCATAAAACAGTGTATTGTGAGAGCACAACACGCTGAGAGCTGTCACTAATCAATCATGCAGGAATACAGCAAGGCATAAAAGGAGCCAGAGGCTCAGGGGGCCAGAGACTCGGGAAGTCCTTCAGCTAAAGGAAGAGAAGCTGCACAGAGGTTTATCTCCATGGAGAAATCCACTGAGAAGGCAAACAGGGGAAAGGGATCCGTGGCTCCTGGTGTCCTGAAGGCTGAGGAGCACAGTCCCACTGCAGAAATGAGTGGAGAAGGATCCCTACCACAACACACAAACCATGGGAAGAGAGTGAGATTCACTGGAGAATGCATTAAAGAAGTGGAGACACCTTCAGGCACAGAACAGGACAGTCCTGCTGCCTTTAGACCAGCAGTTTTGGAGAGAGACTGTCCAGACTCAAATCCTGTGGCTGTGCTAATGGACACAAACCTTCCCGAGGTGTGTGAGTTGGAAATGGATCCCCAGTGTCCCACCACAGCTATGGATATGGAATGCCTCATCTGCTTCAACAAGTATGACATCTACAGGGTGCCAAAGCTCCTGGACTGCCAACATGCCTTCTGTGCTGTCTGCCTCAAGCTGATCCTCAGGAAAACAGAGAACACCTGGACCATCACCTGCCCCCTGTGCAGAAAACCCACTTTCGTGTCAGGGGGACTCATCCGTACGCTCCAGAATAAAGAGGACATCCTGGAGCACTTGGAACACCTGGATTTAAACCCTGAGCCAAACGTCTTTGTCCTAGGGCTGGACAGCAGTAGCTGGGTTCAGAGCAGCCAGGACACTTTATCCACAGAGGAAAATGCTGCAGCAGGACACAGCTTGGCTGTGCAGAGACTCGTGCTGCTCCTGCTGCTCCTGGTGATCCTGGCTCTCCTCATCCTCCCCTTCATGTACTCTGGGAGGGTGAAATGGGTCATTTGTCTCCTGCTTTCGCTGGGGTTGGTCATGTCTATGGTGCTTTGCTGTGCTCCTAAATTCCACTGGAGGTGCAGGAGGGACTCAGCCACCTCCTGTGACAAGGAGACTCATGTTGTTACTATTGCCTGAAACAATGACTGTGTGTGTCCCAGAGATAAGGGACTGCTCCTGCCTGCAGAGCTGCACGTTGGACACTCCAGTGAGTTATGGACTTAAGCCAAATAATTCATGGAATAAATTCAACAGCTGGCTAAGCTGCCTCAATGCCAAGGCACAGTGGTGTTAAATCTCATTGCTGGAAGCAAAGTCCACTATTTATATGTTGATATTTATGTGTTTTCCACACGATTTTTATTCCAGACTAAGAACTTTGTTGGTTTGCTTTTGTCATTTTGTTGTTGTTCATGTCCTGTTCTGATCCCCTGCAGGAGGTTATCTGGAACACCAGGGAGGAGATGTCCTGGAAAATCCCTTGGTTGTGTTTTCCTGCTCTCTGAGCACACATCCACCTTTCCTCATGGCAGTGTGGGAATGCTAGATCAGGGAATGAGTGCCTGGAAAAGAGTTTTAACACAGATTACCACTTTAATCCCTATCACTGCCCAATGGTTGCTGGCAGAGATGGAAAAGGGACTGGGAAAAGGAGATGTCAGCTGATGCCACTTGAAGTTGCACCTAAAATCAGAAAGGAAGAGGCAAACCCAACACTCCTAACGTTGATCTGTGGCTTGCAAAGGGCAAGGCCCAAAAAAACCTCATGACTCTCCAAAATTCCCACTGTTATTTGGCACAGGAATAGCTCCTCTCACCTGAATTCCTCTATCTGGCCACCTGCACCACCTCTCTCCTTACCCTTTACATTGCCCTGGGAGATGCTCACAGGGATGAACAGAAATCCATTGATTGCTGCACCAAACCATGTGTGATGTTTTTATATGGAATGTCTCCATTAAATTTTCATCATATTAATTGCTCATTGACTTCTGTGTTTCAATGCCTCACTGACAATTAACACCCAAACAATTCTCAGTTTCCTCATTGACAGGAATTGCAGCTGAGAGAGCATATTAGGGAGTGTGCACAGCTGAGCTGGTGACTAAAGTAAAGCAGTTAAGTGTAGGTTTGTTCCTTCAGTTAAAAAATAAATTTAGTTGCTAAGAAAATACCAACTCAGATTAAATTGGGGGGAAAATAGGAGATTTCTTTAGTTAAGCTGCATTTTGAAGAGTGCCCTGATTCTCAGCAGACCTTGGATCAGGCCTCTGGTAAATATTTGTGTTCGATAAGAAGGGAAACTGATGTCCTGCAGTTGCTCAGTGTACACACAGTGTCTCACAGCAGATAAAGCAGATGACACTGAGAGGGTAGGAGCTCTTGTCCTCCTGAAGTCTTGGAAAACATAGGTCTGTTTTCTGCCTAGGAACATGAACATTCAGGGGAAAGAAATCCTTTGGTTTTCTTCATCTATTTGGACAGCAACTGGATTACTGCAGAGTGCATATGTAGTAACACTGGCTGATAACCATGGAGAAAAAAAAATTTCCATTAGGAAAGTGGGCCCAAATACTGTATTCTTCCAAATAGAAAGACTGGACCAGATATTTAGCTGTGCTGAAAATAATTCCAGGGATTCTTGGCAAGCCTCTTAGCTCACTATTTCCTTGCTGAGTTCTCTCATCAACACCAGTGGTGTATAAAAGGTTTGGGACATAGGCAGTGTGCAAGCCACAAGGGTTAAAGAAAAGTGATATCTGATTGCTCCACACAGCCACTCACACTCCCTTCCTCCCCCCTTTCCCCCCAACCTGGAGGAATGGGGAGGAGAAAATAAAGTCAAATATGTAGGTTGAGATAAGAACAGTTTAATAATAAAGAGCAGAATGAGCTAAAATGTTGATGGGTAATACAAAGAAAGTGAAAGAAAAAAAACCCAAACCAAAACAAACTCAGTGATGCACAATCCAATTGCTCAGCACCCGAGGAGAGACACAACCCTGTTCCTCCCCCTGGATTGGCTCCCCTTCCTATTTATGGACTGGGCATGATTCCACACCATGGAAAATAATGGATATTCCATGGTGTGGAATATCACTTTGGCTAGTTCAGGTCACCTGTCCCAGCTATGCTCCCTCCCAGTTTTTCTTGTGTATTTTCTCACTGGCAGAGTGTCCTAGGTTACAGTGTAGGGTGTAACCAATGGTATGTATTCTATTATCATCTCCACAAGCTGTTAAAGCAGGTGGGGGCAGTGCTTGTTATCTCCTACTGTCCCTGATGGCTCCTTCAGGGGGTTATCTCTGTTTAATGGGTTGTTAGCGACCCAGAGAATTACATAGTCCCATTGGGAGATGCTTCACCCCAGGGGGGGAGCCAAGCATTCCCACAGGGATATAGGCTGGAGTTTGGACCAGCACAGAGCCCTTTGTCTGCTGGATTTCCACAGGATCCCAGGTGAAGACCAGATCTACAGGATCACTGCTCCAACAGACCCATCACTCCAGGACTGCAGCCCCCATTTAATCAGACTAGTCCCAATACTCTGACTGACAGGGTGACAGGTTATTTTCTGACTCTGTCAGTGGTTTCCACTTGTAATGTTGCATTTATTGTTTTATTTCTCCTTATTCAACTGTATTTCTGACTTGGGATTTCTCACTGGTTTGCTTTCAAACCAGCATGACAGAGCATGAGACACAAGAAAGAAAATTCCCATGATTTAGGATAAACACAACTGAGCAGAAACCCAAATATCAGTGTGTTATCAACAGTGTTCTCACTCTGAATCCAAATGCTGTACTAGCTGATGCTGAGAAAAGGCTGGAAAAGAACTACTCCCAGACTTGTATCTCTGAGGAGCAGGTATTTGTTTATTCAGCACTGGGCACAAGGGGGATAGTTCCACCAAACCTGTGCAACCAGGGACAAAAACTTCACAGTTTATATACAATAAATGCTCATACATATTCATTATTTCCAAGAATGGGTGGTTGTTATTATTATAATTAGTTCTTGGAAATCATTATCATATACTCCTCCTCCATCTCCTCCCTCTTGGCATCAGTCCCATGGTCCTGGTGGTCGTTGGTGGTCGTAAAGATGAAGTGTCTCCTCTTCCTCAGTACCCTTTGGACACCCTTATTATGAAACTATTTACCCCTTTGTACATTTTAGCACACCTTGCTGAGTTTGCCTCTATCTTGACCATTTTGTTTCTTCATTCCACACCTTATACAGTCTTAGTTTTCCTCCTACTGACAAGGTTTGAGCCTAGTTAGTTCTACTCTTATAGATAAGGTGCATCATTTCACCAACCAAGCCAAAACAATACTATTAGTGAAGCTTCTTGTCTGTACTATGCAATCCTTGCTCTTTTGCTAATGAAGCTGAACTAGCGCTATTAATAACGTTATTCTATATGCTTTCAGTTTTAACAGTTCAATTGCTGTTTTCAGTCTACTTCTTGGTATCAGTGCAACCATTTACCCCTTTGTACAGTTTAGCACACCTTGCTGACCTATCTTGACCATTTTGTTTCTTCATTCCACACCTTATACAGTCTTAGTTTTCCTCCTACTGACAAGGTTTGAGTCCAGTTCTACTTATCTTGACCATTTTGTTTCTTCATTCCACACCTTATATGGTCTTAGTTTTCCTCCTACTGCCAAGGTTTGAGTATGATTAGTTCTACTGCCTTATAGATAAGGTGCATCCTTTCACCAGCCAAGCCAAAACAATACTATTAGTGAAGCTTCTTGTCTGTACTATGCAATCCTTGCTCTTTTGCTAATGAAGCTGAACCAGTGCTATTAGTAAAGTTATTCTTTATGCTTTCAGTTTTAACCATTCAATTCCTGGTTTTAGTCTACTTCTCGGTATCAATGCAACCATTTACCCCTTTGTACAGTTTTGCATGCCTTGCTGAGTTTGCCTCCATCTTGACCATTTTTTCTTCATTCCACACCTTATACAGTCTTAGTTTTCCTCCTGCTCCCAAGGTTTGAGTCTAATTCTACTGCCTTATAGATAAGGTGCATCATTTCACCAACCAAGCCAAAACAATACCATTAATGGAGCTTCTTGTCTGTACTATGCAATCCTTGCTATTTTGCTAATGAAGCTGAACTAGTGCCACCTTATACAGTCTTAGTTTTCCTCCTGCTCCCAAGGTTTGAGTCTAATTCTACTGCCTTATAGATAAGGTGCATCATTTCACCAACCAAGCCAAAACAATACCATTAATGGAGCTTCTTGTCTGTACTATGCAATCCTTGCTATTTTGCTAATGAAGCTGAACTAGTGCCATGAGTAAAGTTATTCTTTATGCTTTCAGTTTTAACCATTCCTGGTTTTATTTTAGTCTACTTCTCGGTATCAATGCAACCATTTACCCCTTTGTACAGTTTTGCATGCCTTGCTGAGTTTGCCTCCATCTTGACCATTTTTTCTTCATTCCACACCTTATACAGTCTTAGTTTTCCTCCTGCTCCCAAGGTTTGAGTCTAATTCTACTGCCTTATATAGATAGGGTCCATCATTCCACCACCCAAGCCAAAACACCACCACTAGTGAATCTTCTTGTCTGTACTACGCAATCCTTGCTCTTTTGCTAATGAAGCTGAACTAGTGCTATTTATTCTTTCAGTTTTAACCGTTCAAGTTCTACTTTCAGTCCATTTCTCGGTATCAGCTGAGGGAAAGGAGCAGCGATGGAGCCCGTGAGGCGGTGGCAGTGGCGGGACGGACGGGGCGGGTGACCGCGCTCCCCGCGCTCCGCCCCGGGCAGGAAGGGGCGGCAGCAGCGCGG